TGAAGTATGGGTTCCGGAAAATTTCAATTAGTGATCTGCGAAAATTTGCGCCAAATTCTATTATGAAATTATTGCAGATGTTTCACGTATCACAATTAATATTGATATTTGAATTTTTAAAATTAATAATCAAATAATTGAAATAATTACAAATATTAATACAATCTAAATCAATTTGATTAGATTCTATAAATATGTTAATTTATAATATAAAAAAAATAATGTTAATGTTATTATTGATATTGAATTTTAAATCAATAATCAAATAATTGATGATAATTACCATTATTATTACTAATAATTGTAACTTTATTGGAATTTACAGGTTGAGGAAGATTTGTAAAATTCAATAATCTACTTGTATAAATAGCATTTGGGTGAACAGTTGCCATAATTGTTGAAGGATTAAAGGATTTTTTATTTTCTTCCTCAAATATTTTTTTTATTTCTTCTAATTCATCAAGCTGTTCTTTAGAATAACTAGAAATATTAGATTCAATTGCATCTCTCCAAAAAGTAATAATTTTTAAAACTTCATCTGCTGTTGGTCTCTTTTCAGGATCAGCATCTGTGCATTTGTATGCTAGTTTAATATAACATTCTGGAGTATTATCTGAAAAACTAGGCCTTAAGCCACCACAGATCTTGAAAGCAAGTTCTAGATCATGTGGTTGATCTTTAAATGGCTGTTGATGTGTTGATGCTTCTGACATTAAAATCCCAAAGCTATAGATATCAGATTTTTGTGTATAAGGTTTCTTATTTAATACCTCTGGTGCAATATATGGCAGTATTCCAATAATACCATTTTTGCTTGATTTTTCTTGATCAGCTAGGCCTGATAACCCTAAATCTGCAATCATTGCCTGGTGTAAATAACCAAAATATAAAATATTACCACTGTGAAGATCATATATATAAGTTTTTCTTGATGAAGTGTGTTTAAACCCAAGATAATATTATAAAGTTTTTTAATTTTATCATTCCATCCTTTCTTTCTTGCATAATTTGATTTTAGATATTTTTTAAAATCTCCTTCAGGTGCATATCTCGTTACAAGAACATATTCTTTTGTATTTGGATCTTGTGAAATGCCATAAATATTAACAATACCCTTGTAATAAGGTCCTATAAATTTAATATGATTTTGAAGCTTTATGAAAATTAATAAAAAATTTAATATATATTTAAAAATCATTAATTGTTTTAATTGTTAATTAATTATATTAAATTATTTACCTCTTTTAAAAAATTTTCAGAAATATTTTGTGAGTGTTTGACCTTTTTTAATGCTACATGACCATCTACACAACAATATCTTTCATTCTTATTAACATATTTAGGACCATTTGACCAGCGACCCTTATATACAGTTGCAAAACCACCTTTACCTATTTCTCTTTCAATTATGAATTGGTCATAAGGAATCCATTCAAGGTAATGATAACTATCAAATCCTTTTGCTTCAAGCTGTGTATTCCTAATTATCTCATCTAATTTTTTATTACCACTGCTAGTCCAACTTTGAGCTAACAATTTGGGATCACATGATTTACACCACTGGTAATTAGTATTATGTCTTGCACAAACAGGACAGATTCCATATTCTTCTTTTCTTTCATTAAACTCTAACAATTTCAAATAATAATTTTTCCATTATTAAAATAAAATGGTATTTAATTTTCAACATGATGAAAATAGGCATTCACTTCCTAAGTAAAAATATAAATTTATAATATAGTTCTTACCATCTAATTATTATAAGGAAATAAAAATCAAATCATTTAATTAGGTGATGTTTTAATAAAGTTTGTTTTGTGTTGTAAAAGTTAATTTATAATAATAATTACTTACAATCTAAGAAATAAAAAAACAAATTATTTAATTAGATCATGTTTATTTTGTGTTGTAAAAGTTAATTTATAATATAATACTTACCTCCTAAGAAATAAAAAGTCAAATTATTTAATTAGATGATGTTTTAATAAAGTTTATTTTGTGCTATAAAACTTAATTTATAATATAATACTTGCTATCTGGAGAAATAAAAAATAAATTATTTAATTATATGATATTTATTTTGTGTTGTAAAGTTAATTTATGATTTAATACTTGCACTCTAAGAAATAAAATACCAAATTATTTAATTAGATGATGTTCTAATAAAGTTTATTTGTGTTGTAAAAGTTAATAATATAATACTCACCCCCTAAGAAATAAGAAATCAAATTATTTAATTAGATGATGTTCTAATAAAGTTTATTTGTGTTGTAAAGTTAATTTATAATACAATACTTACAAGCTGGTTATTATAAAGAAATAAAAATAAATTATTTAATTGGATATTTATTTGTGTTGTAAAGTTAATTTACAATATAATACTTACACTCTAAGAAATAAAAAATAAAATTAGATGATGTTTATTTTTAAAAGTTAATTTATAATAATATAAATACTTACTCCCTAAGGAATAAAAAATTAAATTATTTAATTAGAATAAAGCTTATTTTGTGTTGTAAAAGTTAAATTATAATATAATACTTACAAGCTGGTTATTATAAAGAAATAAAAAAATAAATTATTTAATTAGATGATATTTATTTTGTGTTGTAAAGTTAATAATTTACAATATTAATATAATACATAGTGATGTTAGCCGGCTAATAATCTGCATGCATAATTTCTAAATTTGGTAATGGATTTATGCGTTACTTTCTTGTTATAGAAATAACAATTACCAATTTAGGTAGTAAACGGCTTAGCCGGCTAAGGATTTTTAAACAGCCAACACCACTAATAATACATACACTCTAAGAAATAAAATAAAAAATTAGATGATGTTTATTTTGTGTTGTATATAAAAGTTAAATTATAATATAATACTTACCATCAGGTCATTATAAAGAAATAAAAAATAAAATTATTTAATTAGATGATGTTTATTTTGTGTTGTAAAAGTTAATTTTATAATATAATACTTACAAGCTGGTTATTATAAAGAAATAAAAAATAAACTTATTTAATTAGATGATATTTATTTGTGTTGTAAGAGTTAGTTTACAATATAACACTTACTCCCTAAGAAATAAAATTATTTGATTAGATGGTTTATTTTGTGTTGTAAAAGTTAAATTATTATATAATACTTATACACTGGTTATTATAAAGAAATAAAAAATAAAAATATTTAATTAGTAAAGTTTATTTTGTGTTGTAAAGTTTAATTTATAATATAATACTTACACCCTGGTTATTATAAAGAAATAAAAGATCAAATTATTTAATTAGATGTTTATTTTGTGTTGTAAAAGTTAAATATAATATAATACTTACACCCTAGTTATTATAAAGAAATAAAAAATCAAATTATTTAATTAGATGATGTTTATTTTGTGCTTTAAAAGTTAATTTATCATACAATACTCACCAACTGTTATTATAAAGAAATAAAAATCAATTATTTAATTAGATAATGTTTTAAATTGTGTTGTAAAAGTTAATTATAAAGAAATACTTGCCCCCTAAGAAATAAAAAATAAATTTATTTAATTAGACAATGTTTATTTTGTGCTGTGTAAGTTAATTTATAATACGATACTTACTCTCTGGTTATTATTATAAAGGAATAAAAAACAAATTTATTTAATTAGATAATTAGATGATGTTTTAATAAAAATAATTTAATTATAAACAATTATTATAAAACAAAATATTAAGTTAAGATGCAAAATCCTATTATTATATATTACTTGTATTTTTAAAATAGTTCTAAGAAAAAATACCTCCACTCATTTTTTTTTTATCAGGAGAAACAAGACAACTTTTTTATCATAATATTTTGGTACCTTCATTATGGGGTTGCCACAAAGGTTGAGTACAGTACACTTCGTACAGTGAGTATAGTACAAACATAAATAGAATTAGATTGAGTACAGTAAGTACAATTATAGGTTCCACACACCCAACCCAAAAAGACATGAAAAGTACAATTATCATTACCAAAAATATACTCACTGCATGAAATGAATGTACTGAGCTGAGATAATATTTGATGTAGTACAATTAAAATTTTTTGGAAGATGGAACACCAAACAAATGAAATCAAAATCTTGGAATTTTTTTGTGGCATAGGAGGAATGGTTAATACAAAGTTTTATTTTTTTATTTTTTATTTTTTTTAAAAAGTAAAAATGTTTTTATGGGGGGTTTTTTTTTTTAGCATTATGCATTCAATTTATCTGGAAAATTTGGAAAAGTAGTTGCAGCCTTTGATATTAATATTGTTGCCAATGCAGTTTATAAACATAATTTTAACAAGGAACCAATAGTGGTAAGTATCTAATTGGTATTTAATTATTTATGCATCCACACATCTTTATTCATTTACCTATTTATTTTTAAAATAAAGAAAGGAATTGACTCATTGAGTGTTGAAGATATTGAAAAGTATAATGCAAATTGTTGGTTTATGAGTCCACCATGTCAACCATATACGAGAGGTGGTAAATTTTTAGATGACAAAGATCCAAGATCCAAAGCTTTACTTCACCTAATAAATATATTACCAAAATTATCAAATTCACCAAAATATATATTTTTAGAAAATGTTTTAAATTTTGAGGTGATTTTTTCTCTATTTAACTATTTAATTATTTATTAATCAATCAATTATTTTTAATATATATATGTGTGTGTGTGTGTATATATCTTTATAGAAATCCAAATGTAGAGATAAACTTGTTTCAGAATTGTACAAGATGAATTATGAGATTCATGAATGTTTATTAACACCTTTACAATTTGGAATACCTAATGATAGATTAAGATATTACCTGATGGCATGTAAAAGAAACAATGAAAAAAATCCAGCTTTAAATCATATCATTGAACCAAGGAATTATTTGGAAAACTCAATAATCAATACTAATTGGCCATTTAAATGTATGATTTTGGATAATAATGAGGATGAAGAGGAAAGTGGAGGAAAAGATGGAAAAGGAAGAAAAATTTGCTATGTTCAATGTGAATGTCATCAAAAATTTAAAATAAAACAAAAAGATGTCCCAATGTTTGAAACATTAGAGCTGAATAGATATTTGGATATCTTCTTGGATCATGACAATAATGTGATTATTAAAGGTGATAATGATGATGATGATTTGTTATTATTAGAAAGATTTAAAGTACCTGAAAAATATATTTTAAAAAGTTCTAATTTTAGATTTGGTAGGAAAAAAATTTTTTATCATTATTTGTAAAATTAATGATTACTAATATTTATATATATTTAATTTTATAGATATTGTAAGGCCAACAGATAAAAAATCATCTTGTTTTACCAAAGTTTGTTATAATTTTTTTCTATTATTTACACTAAAATAATAATAATAATAATAATAATTTTTGTGATTAATTAAAAAAGTCTTATGGAAGTCACAATGTTTTTTCAAGTGGGTCATTAATTCAAACCAAAAATCTAGAGGTAAAAAAAAGTCCATAATTTTTTTATTTAAAAATAATATTAAAATAACATATAATAATGATACATATAATTTTTTTTTTTTTAGTTTATAAATTATAATTTTGAAAATCCATCTACATTATTAAAATTGGGTTTAAGATATTTTACACCTAATGAGATATCTAGATTACATTTTTTCCCCTTAAAAAATGATTTAACTGACATCAATAACAACAATTATTATTCCTATCATGACAATGATAATAATAATAACAATTGGTATTATAGTCAAGCTAAAGAATGTTTTACAAAAAATCCTATTTTTTTTGAATTTCCAAACCATATCACCAATATACAAAAATATAGACTATTAGGTAATAGCTTAAATTGCTTAGTTGTTTCAATAATATTTAAATATTTCTTGTAAAAATGCTAAATATTAGAAAATTCTGGTTGTGGTTGTTATTATCTATTTCTATTTTTTTCAACAAGTCTAATTAATAATTTTTCTTCATTAATACATTTCCAGAAACGTATTAAATAAATTGATGAAAGTATCACTAGAATTAGTGATTTTTTGATGTATTATTGTATACTTTTTTTCTATTTTCTCTAATTCACAAAACCATCTATAGAATCCAATTGACTATTACCATCTTGTTCATATTGGAATGTTAATTTTGATGTTAAAAACGTAATATTTCAAAAAAAAGTCTCTAAATGTAGATAGATACTTTTGATTTTTTAAATGGAAACCTTGAAAGGTTGCAATATTCGTTATAATTGAATGATCTTACTTGTTCACCTTTAATAAAATATTTTTGCTATATAAATGAGTATTTTTAAAATAAAATTATAATTCTGAATTTGTTTTTCTGTCAATCCGAGTAATTTCATTCCAGCATATTTTCTCGGTGACGATTTTGATTGTTTTTAATTTCATAAAAGGATTCCAAAATGAAATCACAGATTTCAGGTTGACCTTTATAAAGATGTAAAATATCAATCTTCGCAGATGTGGTTAATTCGAATCCAACGTCTACGAAAGTATTCAATCGGTCCATGAATTCTTTTTTATTTGGAGGAGTTGGCGGTGAAAGTTTTATACAGTCTTTGATTACCAAATCATTAAGATCTTTGCAAATATCATGACCTATCCCTTTCCACATATGTACAATTCCGGGTTCTAATACGATTGCCCTTGCAACCATAAAAAGTTTATCAGGAAATGGTGTAAATTTTTTATCCACAATTAGGTCTTCAATTTCTTTCAAATTCTCATTGATTAATATTGACGCCTGATCAATTTCTAGTGATTCACCGCTTAAAAGACCAAATAATTCGACATCGTCGCCATTTATACATAAATTGGATGCAAACCTTGCACGACCCTCGTTAAATAAAAGTGAATATACATCGAACGGAATATCAGGGAACCACGAATCTGCTATTCGATTCAAATAGAGCGGATCATATTCTTCACCAATATTCGATTGGGTCTGTTGTGATAATCTTTGGAAAAAATACCTTGAAAAATTTGCTTTTAATTCTAACAGTGATGTTATAATCTCAACCACAATAAAAGATTTTCCTAGTCGAATTGCATGGAATAATGCATGTGTTTTTCCAAAGTTTCTTAAAACCCATTTGGCTTTTGCAATCGGACTCATACATAATTCGTAAATGCGTTTATTAATAAGAATAAATGAAATAGGGAATTCATTGTAAATGTACACTTCCATCAGGAGTTCCGGAGGTAAACTTTCCATTTTGCATTAGAACTTTAAAGATGAAAGTTATTTAAATGAAGGAAACCAAATTTATTTATTCTTATTATCTACAATTTTTCCGCATTTCGTACGGGATGATTTTTTTTTTCCGTAATTAAAATTAGAATTGTCACAAATAGAAACTAATAAAAGGGAATACAAAAGAAAATAATTCCGAAAAACATTTTTAATTTTCCTCCTCCAAAGATCAAAATATTTAGAGTCGAATGACGACAAATATTCTTGATCAATAATTTAACCACTGATAAAATGTTACACGAAATTTCTCACTGTCGCGTAAAATTTTATTTTAATTATTATTAAAGCTATTCACTTTTCTATATGCATTTATTGGTAATATTACTACCAACAATGCTGAACAACCTCTCGCTGGGAACACCGGTGTTGCGGGAATTATTAAAAGTTTTTCGGTTATTTCTGAAAATCCCTTACATGTAAAATTCCACCATTTGAATTGATTAATATTTTCCTCGGGAACTGGTGTTACTATCTCATCTAAACACCATCCAAATTTTGGGTTATTGCATTTTCGTATTCTAAACATTGTATTAAAATTAATCCCTGCTGTAACGAGTTAGATTCATCATTATATTGAACATCTGATGAGGTTTCATTTAAAGAAACACTTCCTTTAATTATTTATTTTTTTAGTATTTAAATCATTTAAAGATGATGAATTTGATGATGATGCTTCTAGACTTGGTGTAAGTAGGATTACAGATATAATAATCTGATTAGGGAAATAAGTGAAAAACAAAGAAAAAAGATTTATTTATTTATTATGTTGATCTGATAAATAAGGGAAAAAATCTTTCGAGTTTGTTTTTTTTTTTGCTTTCATAGTCTCTTTATTAGTATTGTCGGAAAAATAATTTTTTTCTGAATATGATTTTATCTAAGTCTGGCTTTGAATTTGAAAATAAAATTTATATATATATAAATTATTGAGACGATAATAGTATCCAACCAAATCACGAGTATATTCATATTGGTTCTTGCAATTACTCCAACAGCAACAATGCTTATTGTGGTGGTATGCATACAACCTGCCAGGGATGGATACCCGATAAATGTTATTATTTTATAAAAAAAGGGCCCAGAAATGATTGTTAGGATCAAAAATAAATAAAAGAAAAATTATTTCCAAATTAAGAACCAAAGAAAATAAAATTACGAGTTTTAAAAACCGACTATCGGAATTTTAAAAACAAATAAACAAGTATGACAACTTTTTACTTGGTTGATTTTTTGTGTTATTGCGTAATGGCTTGTTTTGTTTTGAGAAACAAACTTTACTTGGCACTCAATATTGGTTATCTGAAATATATATATATACAGTACACGCTAATTAATTTTTGAGAGTAGAACAACCTTTACTTAGCACGCGAAGCTTGTTATTTAAATATGGAATTCATGAAGACAAGTGTTATGTTTTTTGAACTAATTAGCTATTAGTTGTTCACGTAAGTTACGAATATCCAGATATTAAAATTATTTGATGTATTTTTTTTTTTTTTTGTTAAAAGAACATTTTCATACCATTTTACAAAATGAGATCCTTGAGTTTTTTAGAATTGACACTTATTTTACTCACCATTCTTATTAATAACTCGCATTCAGATTAATTAATTGGTTGGTTAACATAACAATATGAAATTTTTTTTACTACCAAATCGTCTATAATTAAGTTCCATAACATAAAAATTGTCACAATGTGTACCAGATCTCTTTCATTATTTTTACAGAATATCAAATATACACTACCCGGAATTTTAGTGCAGAGTTCAATGGCATAGACACTTAATTGGGATGGGTCCGTATGCATTACTTAGAATGACAAAAGAAAAAAACATACATTTGCTCAAAAAAAAAATAATAATACAACACACGCAGCAGGATAAAAGATAATAATAAAGAAGCAATAGTAACAGTTGGAGTTTTTATTCGTAATACAAATTCTTAACCTTATTCGAATTATTTGAATTATTATTCGTTGATTCTCGAATTATTCGTTTTTTATTTGCTTTAGTTTTATTTGTTCTATTGTTTTATTTGTGTAATTCGAATAGAAACTCTGGTAATAGTGAACCATTAAATAGTAATAGTGATGGCGATTAAAAGATATAATAATGATGATGATATAATAATAATAATAACGATAGTAATAATACTAGCAAGCTTAGTGCCATTTGAGAAGTTTTTTATCAACTAGAATTTATTTATAAAGAAAAAGAAATAGGCTCGATAAAGATAATCGACTTTCATATCATCAAGTTCTTTAGCCAACCAAGGTTTTTCTACCGGCTCACATAACTACTCGTGTGAACCTTTAATGCTAATCTCAGCCAGCAGTCGACATATTTTGAATGTAAATTATGATTAGTCATCGACCATCCAGTTGCTTCAAATTTCACCGCTTATTGTTGGAATTGGTTTATTCGTCGATTCTTTGTTTCATAATTTCAAAATTCAGATGAAAATTTTACAAAAATCTCCCAGGTCAAATTTTTTTAATCCTGTATAAAAAAACCACACCTACCGTTATACTAAACAATTCCGCTCTCGCTAGCTTGAAATATGTAGTCACATATTATGCACATAATCCTATATTTTTTTTAATCCGTGATTTAAGATATGTAATCAAAGAAGCATTGTTCATGATTCCAAATACATACAAGGACGAATTTTATATAATTGATTTGTTCAACTTGTAGTGTTACTGTTGATTTTACTAGAAAATCAACTATTGGCAAGCATTTTAAATCTGAAAGATATTTTTCTCTAATCAGAGAGTTTGTATGCCCCATTAAGACAACAAACATTCTCAACCCCCTTCCATGAACGTGAACAAATAAACATTGATCTAGTTCATCATTTACTCGGGAAAAAATTACTCTAGAGAAAGTTGATACATTAAAACATTTTTTCTGTGTAATTTTGGATCAACGAAAAGAAAGTTTGATTAATCAAAGAATAAAATAAGATGATGTGGGCTATTATCAATATTTTATTTAGTTACTAAATTAGCTGTAACAGAACACCTCGAGACTGTTAATAACACAAAACAATCGATTCTTTTTATTTCAGATATGTCAAGTTTATCACATACAATTCCGATTGATTAATATATTAAAATTTATTAGAAAGTATTAAACATTAATTGCATATAGCCCGACAAGAAAAAGAAGATAGATTTAGTTATTTCTCTTCTTGAAAAAGAAACGTCATTCTCGGACTTATTCCGTTGGTTTGATTTTCATTTTTGTGTCGGCATTCTACCAGGGTCCTTATAGATAATATCCATTTTTGGAAATATAATGTCATTATATCATACGATGATGGTCTAGACCGCTCTAGACTATTTATATCAACCAACCGTATGTTTATTTATTTAATCACGTGATTTAAATTAATTAAAAAGACAATGGACCAATAAACTGTATATAATAAAATTTAATTAAAACCTTAATATTAAATAATTCGCACATTGTTTTTTTATATAATAATAATAATAAAAAAGCATTTTCCTTTTTTCGATATTAATTTTTTTGATTTTTTCTAAATATCAATTAGATCCGATTTAATTCATTTTTTATTCGTTTTTTATTTTTTCAACTTGGAAAATTTTTATTTATAATAAAAAAAATGAATAATGGTAATTCTGGAGGCACGGATTTTGTAAAGAAACTGTACAAGTAAGATCATACATACCACTTTCAATTTTTTCCGTTTTTAATTCCGTAAAATCATAAAATCACATTGACATTGGTATTAATTATATAGAATGTTAGAAGATGATACATATAACGATATTGTTTGTTGGGGGGTTGACGGTAATAGTTTTGTTGTCAAGGTGATTATTACAATAAATATAAATCATCAAATTTGTAATTGATTTGATCATTTATTTTATTTTGCTAATTTTTATTTTTTTTAATTTTCAAGGAAATCGACGCATTCACGAAAACAATCCTTCCTCGACATTTTAAACATACTAATTTCGCAAGTTTTGTAAGGCAGCTCAATAAATATGATTTCCACAAAGTTAGATATTCTGATGATTCATTCTCTCCATATGGTGAACAGGTATATTCATTTATAGTATTAATTTTTGTATGTTGTATGCATTTTTCTGATTTTTTATTTTTTATTAAATATATTATTTATTAGGCTTGGGAATTTCATCATACAAAATTTCAATGTAATAAAAAAGACCAATTGGATAGCATTAAAGTAAATCTAATATTTTCATATATTTTATACCAATTAATAATAATAATAATATCTTTTTTTTTTTTTTTTTTTAAAAAAAGAGAAAAGTCACCACCAACAAGAGAAATCAAAATTCAAATAATAACAACATGACAAATATTCCTTCACAAAACATTCAACTTTCGGAATTTCAATCTCAAATAAATAATTTAAATAAATTACAATATACCATGAATGATCATCTGATAACTTTGAGCAAAAATTATCATAGTGTTGCCCAAGACTTATTAAATCTTGAAAAAGGAATGATTGCTCGAGACCAATTGATACAAAATTTAGCACAACGTTTGGCTAGTTTGGACGAAGGTTTGTGCGAATTTTTACTATTGTTATTATTATTATTGATCTTAGTTATTTATATAATTAATATATATATATATATATTTATAGAAAAATCATCTGGTGGCCGCTCTTTCAATCTTCAAAGAACAACGACAACATTGGGAGTAGGACATAACAACAACAACAACATTATTCCTAATAATAATAATAACTCAATTACCTCCCCATTCGTGGATCCTGAACAAGTACAAAAATTAATAAATTCATATACTGAAGCCATAAGACCTTCTATTGAAACCTCCAAACGTGCTCAATTATTACAAAATATGACAAATAACCCAAATAACCATAGTTCTGCTTATTCAGATTTTCAACAACAACAATTTAATTCGCCGATTGATTATAATAATCCTCAATCATCATATTCTTCAATACATTCATCATCATCATCATCGTCGTCGTCGTCACCACCACTACCATCATCATCATCATCATCAACACCACACACAATAGGATCTAATAACTCTAGTAATATTGATATTAACAAAAATCCTAATAATGATTTGTTTAACAACAACTCTGTTGGTAATAATATGGGTGATTATTCTTCTGCTTTTTCTTCAAATAATAATTCTCATTTTGAAAAAATGGTTTTATCATCTCAACAACAACATCAAAATCAATTATCATCAATTAATAACAACAATCCCACACCATCATTCATATTGCCATCCAACAACAACAGCAGCAGCAGCAACAATAACAACAATAACAATAACAACAATAACAATAACAACAACAACAACAATAATAATGGTTCAACTTTAGGTCATCCAATTCTAATACCAAAACAGACTACTACACAATTAATTGATAATAATAATGATGATGTGAATACTAATTATTTATTATCATCGTCATCATCTTCTTCATCTTCATCGTTAATACCATCAACGACAACAGCTTCTTCTTCATCTTCTACATCATCTAATAATAGTCTAACAAAAATAACATCATCAACTAACAGGAAACCAAACGTTAAGATGTGTGTTATGCAAAAGTCTTTTGCACCTGCTTGGTCAGTTCCACCAAAAGTTTTATTAGTTGACGATGATGCTATTTACCAAAATATCGGGTCGAAACTTTTACGAGTTTTTGGTTGTTCTTTTGATATTGCCGTGGATGGATTAAGTGCTGTTCGTAAAATGAATTTTGCAAAATATGATCTCGTGTTAATGGTAAGATGACCAAAAGATTCCAGAGGTTTTGTTTTGATGATAATAATAACAATAATAATAATAATAATAATAATTTTATCTTTTTTGTTTTGTTTAGGATATTGTATTACCCAATTTAGATGGTAAGCATACATACAACACAACACACTTGCGCATATATTTATTATATACATTTAGTTGTGAATTTTTTTCTAACTCTCAATAATTATTAATATTTGTTAGGTGTTGAAGCAACTACTCAAATAAGAAGATTTGACATGACTACACCAATTATTAGTATGACATCGAATATAGGAGCTGATGATTGTTTCAAATATTTGTCTCATGGGATGAATGATATTTTAGCAAAACCATTTACAAAAGCTAATTTACTCTCAATGTTGGAAAGACATTGTAAACATCTTATAGTCATTAAAACTTTTCAAAATATTCCTAGATCTATTGTTATTGAGAATAATAATAATTGTACATCTTCGGATGAAGATAATAGGATAATTGAAGAAATTCCTGATAACACTAATATTTCTACTGGTGGCAGTAGTAGTAAAGCTTACAACAATAACAACAATAACAATAACAATAACAATAACAATAATAGCAGTTGTTGCTTAATTAATACTGGTTGGAATCAAAATCCTTATAATAACATTAACCTTGACAACAACAACAACGACATTATTAATATAATAACTGCTGCTGCTCCTTCTTCTTCTCCAAATACAACAACTTTTACTGCGATGATGACTAGTAATAATTATATGCAATTAATGAATAATCTAATGGTAGAAAGTAATAATCATTTTAATAATAATAATAATAATAATAATAATAATAATAATAATAATAATACAATATTCGAAAAAGACTGTGATGATGATAGATTATTAGAAGATCAACGTCCTCGTAAAAGGTTTAAATGTTAATTTTAAACACCACATCCATTTTGCCATTGGTGTTCTTATACACTATTGTATTATTTTTTTATAATAGACTTTGTAAAATAATTTCTTTTATTTATTTATATATATATATAATTACTATATTTATATAATTACTATATTTAATAATAATAACAACAATTTACAAGACTAATTGCCCGTGACTTTACTAATAAGATTCATCCTTGAATAATTGAATTAAACACCTTCCCTGCCTACTTCATGATGTCATTCTTATTAATATTGACTGACATGTAAAATAATGAGTTTGATTATAAAAAAAAAAATCTAAAATCAATCTATATCTGTTGTACGTGAAAATGAAATTATGTGAATTCACAATTCACATATGTGAAATTCAAATTAGCCATAATATTTCAATTTCACATAAATCAGGTAAATCAAGTTGGTACTAGGTATTAGATAAAAATGACACTGTCTGTTCTTATTCACTTGTTTCTCGTATCGCAAAACGTTAAAAGAACAAATTTCTCTTCAAATAAAAAGTGTAAAGGCATTTTGAAAGCGTGATTTTTATTTTCTAATCGCAAGCGTGAACTTTTTTGTGGGGACATTTTCCTGTAAAAAATATTCAAGCATTAGTATTAGCGTAATGAGAAAGTATATCAATTATTTCATATTGTATAGGCTTCGCTTTATCAGGTTTTTCTACTTCATCTATTATTAAAAACATGTGGCCAGGTAAGGCATTTGCGATCAATCTCTAAGCTAGAAGTTGGCACCACGCAAAATTTCTTTGACAGGTTAATCACGTGCAATTTTTTATAAAATTATGTGTTTGGCGCAGAAATTTTTCGAATCACATGATTGATAAAAATTAGTTTTATAGTGCAGGACACCTAGCAGTCATCCGTAATTTCACGGGATCGACATGTCTACTGCTGTAGCTATGTAATTTTTTCGTGAAACATTTCAATTTTTACTATTAAAATCGAAGGAAATTTTCATTTGCTACTAGTAAAACCACATGACATTTCTAAACAAGGAGTGTGATTCTTTGTACACACGTTGTTTGAGATTTAATTTATTACCTCGCAAAAGTTCGGCTATAGTTTATTAAGAAAACGGAAAAGAATGGTCTGTTCAAAGTTATACCTTCAGTTCTTAATCATGTTACAACAAATTATTTTGAACTTGTAATTTCAATAAAACATAAACAAGAAGCCACCATT